CTAGTTTTAAAATTATGTGCTGTGCAGCTGTGATTATTAATCATTTTTTGAATCGTTTTATAAGGAAGGGCATTTTTAAGTTACGGTGGTAACATCGTGCTGTGCTCATTTGGCAAATATTTATTGATTGCTTATTACGTGCTAGCCACTTTCTAGATCAGAACCATCTAGTACAATACAATGTAAGTCAGATTTGAAAAATAATTTGAAAATAATGTGAAAAATTCTAGTAGCCACATTCCATGAAACAAGCAAAAGTAAATCAGTGAAATTTATATTAACAAAGTATTTTTAACCCAATACATGCAGAACATCATTCTGACGTATAATCACAGTTATACATTGCTTAATAATGGGCATCTACTCTGAGAAATACGTCGTGAGGGGGTCTCATTGTCGCATGATTGTCATAGGGCACAGTTACACAAACCTGGATGGCAGAGCCTCCTGCACGCCTAGGCTGTGTGGTACATGCCCTGGTACGTGTGGTCCGTCACTGGCTGGGAGGTGGTTAAGAAGGGGATGTTTGGAACATAAAGCTATTACTGTGATATTTTACTTTTTTCCTTTGTGTTAAATCTTTGTTGCTCTTTCACTTTTGAAGTAATCTTTCAGGGTACAGAATTCTTTAAATTCTTCAGCACTTTAAACATTTCACTCCACTCTTCTGTGGTTTCTGAGAAGCTGGATGTAGTTTTTATCTTTGCTTTGATATAGAGAAGGTGGGTTTCCCTTCCCCATTTAGCTTCTTTGAGGATTTTTTTTGGGGGGTACCAGGAATCAAACTCAGGACCTTGTGCTTGCCAGGCAGGTGCTGTGCTGCTGAGCTGTATACCTGGCCCCAGGACTTTTTTCTTTATCTTTTATTTTTTTCTATTTTGATATGATATGTCATGGTGCAGGTTTTTTTTTTGGTTTGATTTTTACGTCTCGCTTGGTGTATTCTGAGCCTCCTAGGTTTCCGGTTTGGTGTCTCACATTAATTTTGGAGAAATGCTTGTTTCAAATATTGTTTGAAGCAATTATTGCTGCAAGTACTCCTTCTATCTCTTCTTCCTCCTCTTCCTCCTTCTCCTCCTCCTCCTCCTCTTCACTACTGGGCCTGGAACCCCCATCAGATGGCTACAAGACTCCTGAGCTACGCTCCTGCCTTTTTCATATTTTATTTTGAGATAGTGTCCTGTAAATTGCCTGGACTGGCTCTGAACTTGTAATTTTTCTGTCTCCGCCTCTCCAGCAGCTGAGATCACGTGAATGTGCCTGGCCTCTTTCCTCTCCTTTGGCATTCCTGCCACGCATCTGTTACACTGTTCTAGTTTAGATATGAAGTATCCCTCAAAAATCCAAATGTTAAGATTGCAGTCCCTGGGGTGGTGTTGCCTGGAGGTGGCAGAACCTTCAGGAGGTAGGTCCTTAGGTCTTTGGGGGTGTCCCCCTGAAGGGGACTGTGGGATCTCAGCCGCTTTCTCCTTTTTGCTTCCTGAACACAAGGCAAGCAGTCTGCTGTAGCACCTGCTTCCTGCCGCTGCTGTCTGTCTCACCTACCGGAGGCCCAAGGCAATGGGTCTACCCTATCTTGGACTTGAACCTCCAAAGCTATGAGACAAAATATAGCTTTTCTCTTTATAAGTTAATTACCTCAGGTATTTTGTTAGAGTGATGGAAAGCTGACTAATAGTTATACCTTTTGTATAATTGTTCCACAATGCTTGGATTTATGTAATTTTTCTTTTAGTCTTTTTTTCTCTTTGCTTTTCAATTTCAGCAAGCATTCCTTAAGCTCAGAGATACTTTCCTTATTTGTGTAGAATCTCTACTAATAAGTTCATCAAAGACACACCTCATTTCCTTTACAGTATATTTGATCTATAGCGTTTCTTTTTCTTAGAATTTCTATCCTTCTGCTTACATTTCCTATCCTTGCAGTGCCACCTCCTTCATCTGGTAGAGCTCTTGGTCTATAAATCTTAGTTGCTTTATACTCCTGGGCTGGTAGTTCCAATACCTCTGCCATATCTAAACCTAGTTCTGTGGCTAACTCTGTCTCTTTGGATCGTGTTCTTTACCTTTTGGTCGCCCTTCTTAACCTTGAGAACTGGACATGATGTAATAGGAACTGTGAGACAAAGGCCTTTAGTAACATCGTGGTAAGATGTGACACAAAGGAAGCATTCCTTAATCCTCTGAGTAGGTCTCAGTGTCGTAGTTAGCCTGTGCCTGCGGGTGTGCACTTCATACGTGGTTTTTGGTCCTCCCATCCAGTGGCTACACGGGCCTGGAGTTGATATTTCTTTTCTCCCAGTTTAGTTGGGCTCTAGTTAAAGCCCTTCCCCTGAGGGCAGAAGAGTCCTCTGGCTTATGTCAAAATGCTTACTTTTCTCCTCTCCCTGTCAGAAGTGTGAGGGGATTTTTCTCAGATATTCACTCTGAGAACATGGTTGAGCTCCTGAAGATAAAACTCACAGAAGGGCTGGGGATTGAGCTCAGCGGCACAGAGCCTGCCTGGCAAGCTCAAGGTCGTGAGTTCAGTTCCCGGTACCGGGAAAAAAAACAAAACAAAACAAACAAAACTCACAGAAGCATGGAGACACCCATGCGACTGGGCTCCCCTGGAGTTTCTGACTTTCAGATTTGTGCACGCTGCACCTCCAGCAATTCACTTATCGGTTTGGGCTTCTGTACCCAGCACCGGCTCCCATGGAGGTCTCTGCACATGAGCCTCCGCTCTGGGAATTGTGATTCTCCTTATTTTCCTGTCTCTCCAATTTCAGGGGCAGTGGTTTGCCTAGGGAGCTCCCTTTCCCTGGGGACCTCAGAAGAGTTGTTGACTTTTCAGTCTGTTCAGCTTTTTACCGGCTGTAGCATGGAGCAGAGACTTCCAAGTTGCTTACACGCTCAGCTGGGAAGCATACCACCTTTGACATGTGATGTGTACTATGGTTTGGCTATGGTTTGTTTCCTCCAAGGGGTCATGTTTTTTAATTTAATTTAATTTTTGCCGTTATGGATTGGGTGAGTATCTCTCAAAGGTCCATGTGTCATGGTTTGGTCCCCAGGGGGGTGTTACTGGGAGGAGGTGCAGGTTTTAGGTGGTGGAGCCTAGTGAGGGGTCCTAGGGTCATGGAGGTCATGCTTGAAGGGCACTGTGGGGCCCCAGTCTCTCTCTGTGTCCTGGCTCAAGAGATGAGCAGTTTTCTCTACCATAATGTGCTTGCCAGAGGCCCAAAGTAATGGGAACTGCTCACTCTTGGACTAGAATCTCAATGAGCCAACCCTTTTAAAATAAGATAATTGCCTCAGGCATTGCATGATAGTGTTTGAACATTGAAGAGGTAGAGACAATCTGACTGGTATTGAGGTGGCACTTTGGGGAGATGATTAGGATTGAACGACGTCATCATGATTGGTTGAATCCTGGTGGTTTATAAGAAGAGGGAGAGAGATCAGAACACATAAGCATGTGTATGCCCTGTCTCTTGCCGTGCAATGCCATGTCCCACCTCAGGACTGTGCCAGGACGAAGGCCATGTTGTGGCCTTTGAACATACAGAACAGTGAACTAAATAAACCTCTCGGGGTGGTTTTGGTTGTTGTTGTTCCCATCATTAGGGAAAGGGCCTGTCATGCTTTGTGTCTGGATGTCCCCTCAAAGCCTCAAGCCCGGTCATGGGGCGGGCTTCTAGAGTTTGTGATTGATTCACGGTCCAATGCTGGGATTATGGGTGTGAGTGCTGCACCTGGCCCAGGGCGGGAGGCATGCACACAGTATAAGGGAGGGAAAGAGGCTTGCTCTCTGTGGCTCCTCCCTTTTTGCTCTTGCTGCTTTTTGCTCTTTTCAGCTGCCATGAACAGTTGCCCTCTGCCCTGTGCCACTCTGCCCTGGAGCCAGCTGAGTGTGGACTGAAACCTCCACAGACTGTCAGCTAAATAAACCTTTCCTTCCTTTCTTTTGGGCGCCAGGTGTTTTGTCTCAGCAACGAGCGAAAAGTAACCAAGACAGGACGTAGCATGGTCGGTCATTACCCCTGTGGCTCCAAATCTCTTTCCTTTATAAAGTTGCCCAGCTTTGATTAAAACAATTCATTTAATATTACATTAAGTGATATTTTATACTCTTTTTTTTTTGGTGCTTAGTATTTGGCGCTTACAGCATATACAGATTAGAGCTAGCCGCCTCCTTATTAGCCAGATGTGACTTGTGGCTCCTGCATTAGAGAGTGTACGTCTAAGTGGAACCCTGTTCCCTGAGGGTTGGGTAATTAGCTATCATCTTGGGCATAAGCCTTCACCCTGAGATTAACTAACTGTCTCACAGTAATAGGCAATCCAAACGCCCCAGTAGAGTTTTCTGTGCTTATCCTAACCTTGACTTACCAAGTGTTAAAAAGCAAACAATAGGCATTTGCTATATGCTTCTTAACCTTGGGTAAAGCAATTCTGCGTTATCCTAGAGTTGTTTGATATGTACACTGGGGCCATTTCCTCCAAGGTCCTGAATTTTTTCTTTTTGCTATTAAACTTAATTTGCTTCAGCAAATTTGGGTATAGAACTTTCCCAGGCTTCTTGTCCAACTGGCTTCTGTAGCTTTTTCTTTTTTTTAATCTTTTTGAGACAGGGTCTCACCATGCAGTTCAGGCTGGCCTTGAGCTCACTTTGTAGGCTGGGCTGGTCTCAAACTTGCAAGGATCTTCCTAGCTCAGCCTCCTAAGTGCTAGGATTACAGGCATGTATGGTGGCACACACCTGGTTTGTAGCTTCTTAATTTTGTCTCTGACAGCAGGTGAATTGGCACCCTTGGTCCAGGATAACCAAGACTTTCCAACTCTCCACTGTTCCAATTTAGTGACTGCCTTCTTAAAGAAGTGAGCTGAAGGCCAGTCTTAGACTCATGTCACTCACAGGCCTGTTACATTCCTTAGGACAGGGAAAGTGAGTTTCTTCCTGTCTAGTACCTCAAACCTGTGTTAGTCTGGGAAGGCATAGTGGGAGTGTTTCTCACCCGGGATTGCCGGTGCTTTTGGTAGAACTCAGTAATATTAAAGTCATCCAGGTCAACCAGAAGGTCTTGCTTACACATCTCACAGGTCTTCACAGCATTTAGATCTGCTCCTTGAATTAAATAAAGAATTATAGGTGAGAATAGATCTTCAGTGTTCTCACCATGCGCGCGCGCATGCACACACACACACACACACACACACACACACACACAGAATTATATGTGCATACAGCCCGAGATCTGTTTGCATTGGCACATTGGATAGGTGGTATTTTGAGCCTGAATTTGAGTGTGCTGCGAATTCTGAGCTTCAGTGGCCTTCATTTAAAGCCTGTAAAAATGGCCTTGAATCTGAGATCTGAAAATTTTTCCTTTATAATCATTTATTATGCAAGCTTCATGTAAGTGAAATGCCCATGGCTTTTAAATAACAAGTCGTGTTTCTATTTAAGTATAAACGTAATGGTTCAGAAAACTGGAATTGCTACATGGCCATTAAGGGTCTTATAACACAAGTCTTGAGAAAGACAGTAAATGTTGGGTCTATATTTTTTTTCTTTCTTGTAGACCTAACATAGAGGTAAATAAATTCATGAGGACTAACTAGATGGCAGAAACTATCCTCAGTCAAGAGCTTAAAAATCTCTGTTTAATCCCACCCAGATGATAATTCCCCCTGAGAAAAGTTACAGTAGTACCTAGGGCCAGCACTTAAGCCTGGGAAAAGAAACAACGCTTCCTGGGTTGATGTTTTTTTAAAAACATGCATTTCAGGACAGCGCTTTTTCTCCCCTTAGCCTACTCTCCGGTGCAAGAGTAGGAGCGGCAGAATGTGGCTATTATATCTAAGGCACATACTGTGTGCTTTCTTCCTTGTGTAGTGGCTGCATTTTGACTTTTATTTTATGCATTAGAAAGCAGAGGACTTACGAGTTATCTGTATCTATTTAGTAATTAGGACCCAGGTAGGTTTATACCCCAGTTCTACTTCCCCACTGGCGACATAAAGCTATAGTAAATAACAGAGACTTTTAAAGGACAAGATGAATAGTAATCCCTTATCTGCATTTTGTTTGCTTGATTCTTCTTTTTTTAGCATCATTCAGTAATGTTTTTGGTTACTGAACATCTTGGGCATTTTCCAACATAATTCTGCCAAGCATATCCACGCTAGCATGGGCATTTAACCTCGTTGTCATGACACGTTTCATGGATTCTTTCTTTTTTCCTTGCTAGATGTTTTATTGGACCAAATTTCCAGGATAAAACATTGTACGGCAGAAACTAAAATCCATTTTTTTGGTGTTGCTTTGCACAGCTATTTGTTTGCTATGAAGATGCACAGTTAGACATCTCAGGATTAATCCTGGGTTTCTCATGCTAGGCAAGGATGCACACATGGAAACAGAGCTTTGGGGACAAGACAGTGGGTACCATGTGTTCGTTCTGTGATTGCGTGGTGCACCGTCGCTGGGGCAGGGGCTTGGCAACACCTCCTGGGGCCAGCGCAAAGCTCCAGGTCTTGTAGGTGCCTGCAATAGTGATAGTGTGGTCACAGAAATAGGATTTGGTCCCGGAGTAAGATTTTCAAAGGGGTAAAAGGCAGCAGTTATTTTCTAATGGAATTGCTTGCATTGATGCCTTATTTTTCTTGTTAAAACTGTGTTCATTTCTAAACCCATGTTTTAAAGAAACTTCTTCTCTGCCAAGAAAACTACAGCTGATCTACCCATACGGCTATATTTAGGCTGTAACTTCCCCAGGGAGTTGAGAAGGAGCTTCACACCCAGTTATAAGATCAAACTGACAAAATCAGCGCATGGAAATCTCTTTATCTAAAGTAGGTCTATAAAATCAGATCAACATTCTTATCCTGCTGCTGCAGCTTTGCTTGGTTTCCTAGGTGACACCCACCCTCCTCCCCCCAAATAAAGGGAAGTAGAATTGTGTGTGTCTGGGGAGGGGGGGTCTCTCACGATGAACTTTCTGGATTGTTTCTACCAAATGCCTACTAGGTACTGCCTGCTTGATGAGGTTCAACCCTGACTCGATTTTCTTTCTTCCTGGGAGGTGATCTTAGCATCTCTGCCCAGGCCTGAAGCGGGAGGAGGATTCAATAGCAGATATTTCCAGGGTTCTCCTCTCAGACTTAAAAAACATTCATTTCCCCCCCCCATAATTTGAAGGCAGCATCTCTGAAGAAGAATCCCGAGCAACTGACAAGGTTCCGAGGCCCACACTGTGGCGTCCCAGGTTAATTGTACCTCGGTGTGTTTGCCGCTCTCCCTTCCCACCTACCTGATGTTATTTTCACTTGCAGCCACTTTTCCAAGCACTTGTGGTGAACAAACCGAAGGCTTCCCACACAGCTGCAAGGCTCCAGCAGGGCGTTGGTCGGGGAACCCCCAGCTATCTGACAGATGCGACACAAGTCTCCCTCCTCCTCCGAGTCCTCCTCCAGGAGACTAAATGGAAAACAAGCCATCGTGACCGAGCGTCTCCATCTTGCGGTTTCTGCAAGTATACTGTTTTTTGGGACATTCATGGGGGAAGGAAGAGGGAGCAACGCCCCCATGCCTTTACTGCTGGGGCTTCTGCGGCTCACCCACTTCTCCCTCTGACCCTGGTAAGAATTCTTTCAGATGGAGTTATTGATCATCGGTGCACAAATTCAGGCTAGTTTGTAGTTGCTATACGTGTGAGCTGGCTAGGTGAATCGGGAAGTGAAGCCTGGAAGTGGTGGCACATGCTTATAATGTCAGCCTCCCAGGAGGCCGAGGCAGGAGGATCACAAGTTTGAGCCCACGCTGGCAACTTAGAGACTTAGTGAGACTCTGTATTTAAGTGAATGAATGAATAAATAAGTAACTAAATGTAAATTTGAATTTAAAAATGGCTGAGAGTGTAGATCAAGGTGAAGGCCCTGGGTTCAACCCCTCTAGGATGGGGGTGTGGAAGACAAGGGTGGGACTGGCGATGCGGCTGAGTGATAGAGTTCTTGCCTAGCATTTGGGAGTCCTGAGTTCAGTGTCCAGCACTGGAGGAAAAAAGAAAAGAAAAGAAAACAAAAAGGGAAGCGAGGGATAAGCCTACAGAGAGCAACTGGCCAAGGGGCCAAGAGCCCCTCCTCTGCCTCAGCCGCGAGGAGGAAGTTCTTGATCTGGTGTATTGGTGAGACGTGTGGTCAGGCCTCCTGGGTTTGAATCATGTGACCTTGAGCAAGTTCCTTGAATCTTCCCAAGACTCTGTTTCCTCTGTGTACAAAATGAGGTGAGGCTCATGGTGGCGTCGATACTGTAGTTGCATAGAGTTGTAGGCAGACTGCGTGCAGGACGATGGTGACCTTGTTGTGCACACTGTAAAGTGCGGTCAGTGTCTCGCAAAGCTCTCACGCACAGGGGCCCCTCAACAGGTTGGATAAATGGACCAGCAAACCTGAACGTGAGCTCACCAGTAACACAACCCTTGCCAACGGCTGAGGTCCACACTCCAGAATGTAAGCTACTGCAATTTGATAACGGCAGAATTGATGAAAATGTAAGCAGAAGTGTAAGTGAGGAAAGAACGGCCGGCTGCTGTGCGTGGTGAGTGAGGAGTAGTTGGCTGTGGAGAGGTTTGAGGAGGCTGACAGCGTCTTTTTCCTTAGACTCCTCACAGTGCTGGGGGCAGTGTGGTCAAGGAAAGGAAACTGTCTGCATCTACAGTCAAAGGAGAGGGAAAAGATGGGCAGTGCTCAGGGTATAGAGATGTTTGCTCAGCTTTTTGGAACATCTTCTCCAAGAAAGGGAAACTCAGTGAAGAGAAGCGGAATTGTAATTTCCCCTTAAGGATATTCTGAATAATCACAAATATTTTTAGTGATTGAGATTTTAATTTATTTCAGTATAGTTTTCGCTGTGTTCATAAATAGTCTAGAATAACAAGTATGCTATGGAGCAGATGCCTCAATGGATGAAGATGAGCTTCAGGGAACCCTAACCTAAGAAAATGACAGAAACATAGCAGAGCTTTAGGGAAGTACAACACAGCCTTTGGAAACAAGTGATCTAAATCAGTGGTTTTCAGATGAAAATAAAGATCCTCAGGTTCACCTGTAGGCACCTTCAGGACAGGTTCCTGGGCTCTAGCCTTGGCAATCCTAGCTCAGTACTTAAGCTCCAGGTCTGAAGACCACTGACCTAAGCAGTGGGATCAGGGGCTCTACCATAAATTGTTTATAGCTTATGAATGCCTGACTCACAACTCCATCTTCTCAAAGGTATTAGTGGGAATCTGCAGGCTATCATTTTTTTTTTTTGAAACTCGTATTTTTACAAATAAAAGTAAAGAAGAGACAGAAAAATACAGAAACAAAGGAAAAATGAAGCATATAGTTATCACCCCAAAGTAGCTGCTCTCTGTTAATCCAGAGTAACACTTTCCACTGTCACTTCTATGGACATCCCGTTTTGACAGAGGTGAGCTTGCTCTTGGGTTTAGATCAAGACATTAGGTAAAGGACTTCTATGTGTATCCTTATCTTTTAAAAAGCTCCAAACAGATAATTACACAGAGTGAATCCACAACAGTGTTGGAAAACAAGCAGATCAGAAACTATGATGACAACCGACAGGCGGAGAGGAAATGACAACCCAACATGGCCACAGGGGCAAACTGTCGGGAAGGAAAAGAGCAGGTCCAGAGGGAGTCCCTGCCAGAGGATGGGGTGGACACCAATGCAAGGAACCTGGGAATTAGAAGGTAACTACTAGTTCAGGGCCTGCTTCAGAATGGCGGGGCTCAGTACCCTGAGCGGCAGTGGCCCCAGTGCCTCTTACCAGGCCAGCGCTCTGGAACTTAGCACTAAAGAAAGGGAACTTTCCATAAAGACCAAAGTTTAAAAATAAGCTCATGAACATCATCCGTTTATACAAAGCTCCCACCGAGGGGAGAGGATCACAGAGGAAGCAAGGCACACTGCCGTCGGTGGGGACTGTGCTGGTGCCTCTTTTCACTGAACCACCCATGGCTTCCCTCGTGAGACAGTTGGGATCACCGATCAGCAAAAAGAAAATAGAGTCAGCCAATCCTGTCAGAAATGCATAGTGCAGGCAGTGGAGGAGTTAACTCTTCAGATGATTCTAGAGGGTGTTGCTCACTGCAATGTAAAAGGAGCAACCACAGGTAAGAAGGGTTTCTGGGGAGTCAAATGAGTACGATTAACAAATTTTTAAAATCCCAGGTGTTAAATATAATTCAGTATAAATATAAGCGAAAAGTATAAGATTGCTCAATCTACCAAGAATATATTAACCATTACACTTAAGGAGCTAAAAAAAAAAAAAATGAAAAGTCTTATAAATACAAAGAGGAATGAGTAAATCCAAATCATCGTGGGCGTTTTTGACAAAGACCTTCTCAGATGGACAAACTCAGTAGAAAAGAATAAAGTATGAAAGATTTTAATATCAAGTTTTTAAAGCTAGTATGTGTATTAGCTATACATAAGCTATATCTATATCTCTGCAGCACATTTGTAAATATTGCATATGTATTGGGGCAAAAAAATACAGATCACATTTTCTGAAATCGCAGTGTAATTCAATTAGGATGGGCAATAAAAATTTTAAAACGAAAGGTAAGAGGAGAATTATATAAAATATTATGTAAAATCCATATTATATAAAATCTATAAATCTGCAGTACATTAAAGTGGATAGTTGATGCAGTACTTCAGGCAGATTAATGGAATAGAAGTGAAAGTTCATAGATAGACTGAAAGGGGTAACATATACCAAAGAAGGTGTTTCAAATTAGTAAGGAAAGGATATAATGATTGTGGGTCAAATGACCAAAAGACATTAGAACTCACCTTTTACCATACACCTAAATATATTCCATATAAATGCAGGCATAGCTACTATGCATCAGGTGCTTACTGTGTACTAGATACCCTATAGCATACATAAGTATTTAAAACCTGATTTAATTTTCATTGTTCTTTGAAGAATGAATGAATGCATATATATATATTTTCTGGACAGATTTCTAGAAATGAAAGAACTTGACCAAAATCATAGTTAATAGTTGATAGAATCAGGAATCAAACCATAAGAAAATAAATCCCAAATTTTTAACCTCTATGATGTGTAAAATAAGAATATAAAACTACTGAAGACAACAGTTATGAACATTTGAGTGATCACTGGGTTTTCCAAGCATGGCACCAAATGCAGAAGCTGTAGGGAATACATTACCAGATTTGATTACAAATAATTTCAGAATTCTACATATCAGAAACATTCACGTAAAACACAAGTGGGAAAGAGAAAAAATATCTGCCCATTATGTAGCAGAGCATTGCTAATGATTTTATTTTAAAATGTTTGCATATATTCCAATAGATAAAAACAATATGAATATCCCAACAGAAAAATGGAGAGGGGAATGATCAGGTGATGACGAATGAAGAAATAAACATTAAAACAAACATAGAAAAAGTTCAGTGTCCCTGACCATACAGTTTGCATGATGAAATCATCACAGTCTTTGGTTAGTCACTTGACAAACATGAAATCCCTGGAACGGGCAAGGGTGCAGGGAAAAAGACTATGCAGTGGGGACCCTGTAAAGGTGTAGAACTTTCTTAAAGAGTCAATTGATAATACACATTGAAGACCTTGAGAATGTGCATTCCCTCTCTTTAGAGGTCACGCATTTAGGAAGTTATTTTAAGTAATTAATTACGGATATGCTAAAAAAAGATGGCTCAAATAACAACAGAATTCAACAGTGTTTAAAATTATATGCTATATGTTATATAATATATATTATATGTTATCTAAGGTATATCTGTAAATTACATATCTGTAAGATACACACACATATACATATATATACATCTATATAAGCTATATGTCCTATATGATTAAAAAGTACCAAAAAATAAGGTTGAAAGGAAAGAAACTAAAATATTCACAACTGAAATTATTTGCTACATAGAAAAAATAGAGAAAACAGTCAGTTACGTCTGTATACATCAACATCAGAGAGTTAAAAGTAGGATTTAAAATATTGTTTCTCTAGCAAATAGCAGTAAACGAAAGAATCTAAGCTAAATCAAAGGGCTTTTAGAAGAAAAATCACAAAACCATACTGAAAAGCATTAAAGATGACACGATTATCTGAGAAAGAATCAATATTTCAAAATTGTCAGTTCTCCAAGAATAAACCATAGATTCAATGTAATTCCAACAAACATTCCAAGAAGCAGACTCTAAAGTGTACGGTCAAGGACTCTTTACAGAGCACCTTTTGGAGGAAGGCTTTCCACCACATATTCCAGCTTGCAGACATTACGATGAGGTGATATTAGAAAGACAAAAAAGATCAGTGGAACAGAATGGCGAGCCCTGCAAGAGGTGCGTTGTGCACGACCAGCTCTGCAGATCAGCAGGGGAAATCCTGGGATAATTGTCTGTTTATACGGGGAAAAAATAAAGCTTACCTCACATGGTATATTGAAAATCATTTCACACAAAGGCAAAACCCATTTCATTTCAGTCTTAAATGTGCAAAGTAAAACTAGAAATTTTAAAAGAAAATAAGAAGAATATCATAATAACCTCAGGTTAGGGGCATACTTCTTTTTAATGAAAAGGAGATATCTAATTATAATCCATAAGGAAGATGGACACATTTGATTACATTTAAATGAAGAATTTGTTTTTTATCAAAATACATCACAGAAAGACAAACTACTAATTGGGAAATATTTCCAATACTAACTGTCAAAGGATTATTATTATTTTGAGGGGGGAGGTACCAGGAATCGAACTCACACTTGCCAGGCAGGTACTGCACCACTGAGCTAAACCCCTGGCCCCTTTTTAAACTTTCTTTCTTTTTTGTGTGTGTCAAAGGGTTAGACAAGTAGCTAAAATTAGGATTAGATAAGTAGCTAAAATAAAAAATAAAAAGCATAAATAAGTATTTCACAGAATAGAAAAACACAAGAGAGCACATAAAATGCCTCTTAGAAGACTCCTAAAATAAAAAATAGACTCCTAAAATAAAAAATAAACAAAAAGCATAAATAAGTATTTCACGGAATAGAGAAACACAGGATAGCACATAAACTGCCTGACCTCATTAACAGTTATGAAAATGCAAATTAAAGCTACAATATCATTCTGTTCCCATCAGACTGGTAAATTGGAAGGCCGATCAATGTAAGTATTGTCAGGATGTATATGATGCTGGGTATTGCTGCTGGAACAATAGATTGGCGTTGGTCAGTGTAGTGGAAGATGCGCTCCCCTCCAGCCCAGCAATTCACTCTTAGCCAATTATCCCGGAGAATTCTTCCCATTGTGAGTGTCTTTGAATTTACAAGAATCTTCACGCGGTGCAGTTTGCGGATAACAGTGAACAATCCAAATGTCCGACAGAATGGCTAAATACATTTGTATGTGGTAAAAGGGAAAAAACTAAAGCCAAAATACCAACAAGCAGCTGGGGGGAAATTCAAGTCACAGAAGAGCAGAGCTTCCATTTCTAGAGTCCAAAAATATACGCAGTGGTTTATAAACACATACATGCACACATACAGTAAAAACATAGAGCAGAAAACCCCCTGAACACAATAAAACTAAAAGCAAAGGAATGATAAATGCAATGCAGGAATGGCCCTGGTGGAGTGGGGGGAAGTAAGAGGGGAGACAAAAAAGTTGGGTAGGTGAGGGGCTTGGGAGGGCTCTAGTATGTCAACAATCTTACGTTAGCTAAGGTGGACACAAGGATATCTGGGGTTTTCTGGTGTGTGTTTAAAAATTTTAAAAAAATATATATGTATACATACATACGTATATATATATGTATAAAGTCATATATACCCATATACACACTTATTTGTATGTATTAAAGAAACTGAGGGGAAATTTTTTTTGAAAGCGTAAGTGGCATTGAGAAATGGACCTTGAAATAGAAATACGTCATTTTATAAAACAGTATAAACCAGTGTTTACTAAAATTGCACCTATGTGCCAAGGGTGAAGCCTGGAAGTTGGGCGTGGTAGTGCATATCTGTAATCCCAGAACTTTGGGAGGCTGAAGCAGGAGGATCAAAAGTTCAAGCTCAGCAACTTAGCGAATCAGTGAGAGCCTGGCTCAAATTAAAAAAGGGGCTGGGGATGTAGTTCTGTGTGAAGGCCCTGAGCTCAATCCCCAGTACCACAAAAAAAGAAAAAAAAAAAAAAAGATAAAAGACTGAAAATGTTTTCAGCAGTGTAGGTGTTTTTGTTTTATGCTGTTTAAAAAAAATTTCCTGGGGCCTAGGGTATAGCTCAGCAGCACGGTGCCTGCCTGGCAAGCACAAGGTCCTGAGTTTGATTTCCAGTTCCAAAATAGATAAATAAATAAAATTTTAAAAAATTTCCCAAAATACACACTGTGGAAATAATGAGAAAAATAGATGGTTTACTATACTCAGAAAAAAGAGTATGTCTGATAAACTAAGTCCTCTATAAATAATAGTTATTCAGTGCATTAGCGTGCCTTAGAAGTGCGTGCAATTTCAAAGACGTTATTTTGAGCCCAAAAGCATCATTTTAGAGTGGTAGGAGTTCAGACTTCTGACAAGTCTGTCGGAAGATATCTTTCTAGGTTGCAGTCGAGAATGGGTGGGCATTAGGCCGCTTGTCCTTAACCATGGGTCTCTCTTCCTGTAGCTCTCCTGCTATGGCAAAGAAAAGATCCTGGCAGCTAGAATAGCCCTCACTTCTGGAGCTGGATAAAAGACATGGAGGAGTCTATATGCAGTCTGTGTTTCATTTCCACTCCTTGTTTTCATTTTTAATCCATTGCCATGGAAGTCTCCTGCTTACAAATGAACATCAATAGGATAATTAATGGTCCACATGAACCATAGTAACTTATACACAAAGAGGGCTCACATTCCAAGAATCAATTTCCAGATCAGTAAGCCAAGATTAGTAAACACCTACCATACATGAAATGGTAGAATTCTGACACAGTGTTTAAGGATGGCTTTAAAGAGTATCCAGTTTCATAGCTGTGAAATATCCCAAAATCACCTCATGAGAAAGGAAAGATCAAAGAAAAGGGCAATCTAAAAAAGATCTTGTTTTTCCTCTGTCTCATGCATGAGAAAGAGCACATAAAACGGAGGCAGTGGTTACCCTGGCACAGGCTTCGGAGAGCTGAAGTAACTATGGTAACTGTTTGGAACCAGTCTTTTAGTTTGGAAGGTTCAAATTCTAGAACTGTTGGTTAGATTTGCGACAAGCCCCACGAGGGAGAGCTGTGAACTTCAAGTGCTGAATGGTTCATTCTTTGGGGAGATAGCAACCTTTTCATAAAAAATCCTGGTTCCTAATTGCTGGGGAGAAGAGTTAGCCCTCCGTAGCTGTCAGAAACCCTTATACCTAGCGGACTTCCCTTTCTTAAAGTTATGGGATTCAAGGAAAAAACGTTTGGGGAATACTGAAAGAGGTGAACAGGAATAGCAAACTTTATACACATATATTTTAAGGGCAACAGAAGAGGGACAATTTCCTTAAAATAAGCAGTCATTAAAATGACAAGGAAGAGCCAGCCTATGATTCAAAATTCCTGGGACTCTCTTCTGTGCCAGCATTGGAAAAACAGAAAAACCACGTATACGTATTATGTATATAAGCGTGAAGATTCCTCACCTTTCCTGCAATTTCTTGAGTTTCTCGGGGTCCGCCTTTTTCTCAGTGGCCCCTTTTTCATTTGTCAAGCCAGAGGCAGACATGCTGTTCATATTATCATTTTGATTTGGGGATTCTGACACAACGAAGAAAGTGAAAGGTCCATTTTCTTGCAGGGACCCAAGCACGCGCCAGTGACCTTGTAAATTCCCTCCGGGCAGAGATGAGCCGGGAGAATCCACCGAGGACCAGCTGCCTTGAGGACTTACTGAGAGATCTGCATGTAGTGGAGCTCCCTGTGGCTGGCTGGGCGGATTAATGTCCTCTGTTGCCCTGACATCAGATTCGTGTGCACCGTTTACTGGAAAATCATCGTGGTTTTCAGTATTGCCAAATGGATTCCCACTTCTAATAGCAGGCAGTGGTTGGCACACACTGAACCTCGGGTCTAAAGTAGGACCCAAAGTCGAGGACGTTGACAAGTGTGTTGGAACATGATCCCTCAGAGCAGTATGCACTGATGGTCCCACAGCACTAGCAGATGGGTTCACTGATGGTCTTGAAGCTGTTGGTCTATCAGAAGTTAAGGAGTTTGGAGAATTTCTGGAACCAGTTAAACAGCCTTGGCAGTCTCTTTCATAGTCATGGGTACCAGGCCCATCATCCGTAGAAATGCAATGATTAGATGCATTTTTAGCATTGAGATCATTGTCTGGGCTGGAATCGGATTTGGTGTTGCATGAATCAGAGGTCTTTTTCTCATTTTTACTGTCTCTACCGTCGTTTCCCTCAACGGGCTCCTCAGCAGGCAGCCTGGGCTCTTGGAACATCCTTTGCCGGACAGAAGACTGCTTTGTCACGGGCTCTGTTGTGTTGCTTATTCTTGATGAGCCATGATTGGGCTGGCTTCTGAAAGAATTACCTCGGCAATGGTCAGCGTTGTCTTCGAAATTTTTATTTTTGCCTTGAGAGGCAGATGGCCCAAGAAACCTACTTTGTTTATAACTGGAAGGAGAGTGGGGAGATTGCACACCGCCCAACAGAATTCCTTCTTCTGTGTCGGTTTCTTTTTCAGCATCGTCGTTTTCTCCTGTAGTGTTCAGTGATAGCGTGGGATGCCGTTCTTCACCCTGGAACCGACATGCTGTCCTTCTCGGCCCTGCCATGGTGCTGGGGGCGAGTGTTGGCCCCGCGGAGCCACTCAGCACCTGAGGACTCTTCATCCCTTGGAAGGTCTGAGTTAGGGCTGAATGTGGCGCTTTCAGGGAAGGAGCGTTTGGGGCTCCTTGTTTGGTCCCTTCGGGGGGGTTCTCAGCTGTCCTCACCAGCTGTGAGGATGAGGTGAAACTTCTTCTCTCTTGAGTTGTCCTGTTCAGCTTCGTTTTGCCTGCCCACATCAAGGTTTCCTGTTGGACTACTGGACCTGCGTGGAAGACAGACAAAGTCATCATTCTGTTATGACACCATGGATGAAAGCCCTCTACATTAAGCAAGAGGAACCGTTAAAAAAAGCCCCAGAGAATAAAATGTACGTGGCCAAAACAGTGGTGGGTGCAGGAGGAGTCCAGCACAGCTGGCTTCTTTTTAGTGCTTCTGGATTCTTCTGTCCACATCTGTGGAGCTCAGGCTGGTTCTGGGGACACAGGGTGACCTTGAGGCTACGGATTCTTCCTGCAGAAGCTTCAGGAAGACTGGTCCAGCTCCAGGCTAGCCAGGGCTGAGGATGGATAAACGCCTCACTAAGCACTGGTTTTCATTCTGTATTTATTGAAAAGGAAAACCAGCACTCCGGGAATGACTTCCAGAAAAAAACCCACTAGTCTTTTTCCAGCCAGATTCATCCCACATCCACCTAGGACCCTCCTGCTTCACACACAGCTTTACAAACACTGAAGAAAAGTACAGCGTCTCTTAGCAAATTGGCAGACTGGGAGGAAGGCGCTGAGAGCTGGGGCACTGGTACACTGGTGGTGGTGGTGGTCATGCTTACTATGTCACGGAAATGAAAGCTACATGGCCCTCAAGAAGTCATTAGCCTCTAGTAAACTCATAGCCTCTGGCTATCTCTGAATCTTCACCTTTCCTACCCTCCCAGTTCCGAAGTATGAGAGGACAGGAGAGAGAGAGAAAGAGCCCATGGAGTAGGAATTTCCACTGCGGGGATCGCTTATTCAAAACTTGCCTTGTACAGCAATACATATCCTCTCCTTGCTGAGCAGGCCAGAACCATGCCAGGTATATCAGACATGCAGCTAAGCCCCACACCGAAAGAAAGAGGCACCACATTAGAAATGAGGGCACCAAGGCCTAGCAGGGGCCACGTAACTTGCAATACAAGATCGTATTTCTAGTAACTGACGGAGTGAACATTTGAATCCAAGCCTGCTTGATGCTAGGGTTGGCGTTCTTAACCACCACCCTGGGTCACATCCCTCAAGACACTGGCTGGACTTCCAATTTCCTCGGGAAAACCAGGACCCGTGGGATTTATGCTAGTGCGTGTGGTTGAGGACGTTTCACCCTGACGATGTGGGCACAAAACTGAAAGTACTTGTCTGCGTCCTGATGGGCTCTTCTCCCCCTGCTGCCTTCTGGGCAGTTTAGCAAGGCTGATGAGGCTCTGCTGTCCCTATCACTTAGTTTTTAGAGCAGTTTGCCTGTCGAGTGGACAGGACTCCAGGGGTCCAGGAAGGTCTGTGATAACAGGTCTGCTGAGGAAATGCAAATCCTCTGAGCGGCCAGCTCAGCCAGGGCCAAGTCAGTACTGCCTCGCTTTAATTGAGGCTGTCCGCAGGGAAGCCCTGGGTCGAGGCTCTAATGTCCTGATAGTCTGTAAGCTTCTCTTCTTGTTAGCTGCGGGGGACACACAGGGACACAGTGTGAAGCTTTGCTCATCGCCTCTTCCAGAAATCAGTTAAACTCTCCTACCAGGCTCCTCATGGGGTTTTGTAAACCCCAGTGAGAGATGTATCCCCAATTTAAGGACGTTTTAAATATCCGGCTGTCCGTGAGCAGGAGTGGTGTTGACTCGCCCACTCTCCCGGGCTGATCCATCTTTGGAGACACTGCTGCTTTAGGTAACCAACTGAATTTGCTTGTTTGTTTGAGAAAAAAGTGATATATATTCAAGGGTCCAAGGGTAGGCTCTGCTTGATTGCTTTTCACTTTGAGTTTGGAGAAAGGCTGCAGAAATCAGCTAACGGTGCTGGAACCTGATGCTTCTGGTGGTTCCCTAAACACACTTACCCTGCTTGAGGATGAAGAGCTCCCCCGTTTCCCTGCTGCCTCTGACCAATTTAGCTCAGGCCTCTGTCCAGGGAAGTGGGAGAAACCCAGTGGGCAAAGGAAGCCGCGAGGTGGCTTCTGAAAAACAGAATCTGGAAACTCAGCGGGAACTATGAGCTCATTTCGTGGACGCTTCCGCCTGAGCTGTCACGGGGTGGCACAGGCTGCAATGCTGTGAAGCTCCCACGGCTCCCTGCAACCCACCAGGGGATGGTCTTCAGCCTTCCTTGATCCTACAACTGCTGTCTTCCTCTTTAGAAATTCGATCAGAGCTTCTCTGGGGTATGTGTGTGTGTATGTGTGCGTGCATGCGTGTGTGTGAGACCAGACCATTCTATATTTATGCTATTTTAACCCCATTTTTTGTGTTTATCAAAGAGGGAGCAGATTTCAATAGCTCTGGGGCTGGGAATAAACACTGCAGTTGCTTTGCCAGGGATGTGCTATTCACAGCCCAGGCCCTGCAGATGCTGGATGCTTCCCTGAGGCCCTGCCTGGGCTCCAGCTGTGGATGGAGGTGCCTGCCATCTCCGGGAGTTCGGGACACACAGAATGAAACTGGAACGAGTGTCTGCCTGCCCGAACACCGTGCCTTTGGTCTGGACTTCCTCAAGCGCTTGACCAATAGCACCCTACATTCCAGCAGCCATGTATTTTTATTTTTTCCCTCTGGATATAAGAGTGAGCTATGGTCATTGGAGAAAATTTGGAAACTGTAGCAGAGGATGAAATAATCTAAGCCTACTCACAACCAAAAGCTCGGATGACTACTGTTCATGCTCTGGGGGGAGCTGCAGACTCAAGGTCTCTGGGTCGTTTCCAACCCGCCTCAGCTCAGCATTTTAACAGTGAATTAAATGCCTTGAGGTGGTTCATCACAGGCCTCCAAAACCCTGTTATGTTTTCCTCCTTTATACCCACCTGCTCCTTGAAATCCTTTGAATTTACAGTGCAGCTCCCTTAGCTATAGGTGCAGTGCTACCTTGCTTCATGAACTTAATTTGTTGTAGGATTTTGGGGAAGATGGCCACATTTGTGTTTGTGGGGGGATAGGGCTGTGGTTGTGTTTGTCACCAGATGTGGAGTTTGTGTGTTTTGTTTTGTTTTGTTTTTTTCCTCCGGTAGTGGGAATAGAACTCACGACCTTGCGCTTGCCAGGCAGGCGCTGTGCCGCTGAGCTAAATCCCCAGCCCAGATGTGGAGTTTGTGAATGGAAACAAAATTTTGTTGAACACTTTTGTTTGAGAACTGAATTGTTTGCACACAGAAGCATTTGTGAACCAAGGAATTATTATGCTTTTTTTTCAAAACCAAAATTGCGACGTTTCTATACATACAGCTGTATGCCCGGCTGTCTTTCCCCAAACATTGCATTGTGTGTATTATCTCATGTGAGTTACTCTTTATGGACATTATAAGGATAATATAAGGTACATTGCATGAATATATCATAATTTGTTTAACTCTTCCTCTGCTGCTGGTTATATAGATTGTTTTGTGGTTTTATCATTGTGCAGACCACACTGATAAATAGCCTTGCTTGTATATGTATATATATTTTTTTTTCAGTACCGGGAATCAAACTCACGACCTCACGCTTGCCAGGCAGGTGCTGTGCCGCTGAGCTAAATCCCCAGCCCCTTGCTTGTATATTTTTGATGCGATATCTTCTTAGCATAGATTTTTGGAAGTGGAACTGCCAAGTCAAAAGTCATAAACTTTCTAGAGAATTTTGACACGTTACCAAATTCCTTCCCAGATAGTTTGCACCAAATTATGCTCCAGGTCGGATGTGAGCATATCTCTTACAACCATGCGACCAGCAAGCAGTAGCGCCTGACACAGCAGTGCTAGGAAGTGTTAGTTGTTAGTTTTACTATCACTATTAAATGTTATTTGTAAGCATTAGCCAATTTGATAAGCCAAATTGAACTCACGGATGAGTTTATATTTGTCACCTACTGAGGCTGAACTTTAGAACAATGCTTATTAGCCAACAATATTTCTTTTGTGAAATTGTCTGGTATACTCCTTTCCTATTTTTCTATTAGGTATTCATTTTTTTTTTGAGACAGGGTCTCACTCTGCAGTTCAGGCTGGCCTTGAGCTCACTTTGTGGCCCAGGCTGGTCTCAAACTTGCAATGAACCTCCTGCCTCAGCCTCCCGAGTGTTGGGTTTACAGGTGTGCGCCACCACGCCCAGCTAGGCATTCATGTTTTTAAAATTTGATTTGCAAGAGCTTTCGGGAAAATTTGGTCACATTTTGTCCAAATTGCTCATTGATACCATTCAAATATCTGCTTCCTACTCCAATTTGTGTGAGCCATGGTAGAACATGAGAAAAGGAGCAAAAGGGAGATGATAATTGGGGAAGGGTAAGAACCCTTGGGGTAACAGAAAGTAGCGACTCTTTCTCAGTGGCTTACAGAATTATGGAGGTGTCCCTTGGGTGCAGATGGAGGGTGGCGTGTGCCCATGGGCCCAGGAATGACCTATGCATAGAGAACTTCACCTTTCAAGTAATATGGGAGAGTTCACAGAGAGCCCCTGGGGAGGGGGCAGGAGAGAAATAGTAGCCCAGCGCCTCCATTGTGGGATCTACTATGTGCCAGGACTGGTCTATGTATTATTTCCTTTAGTTTTTATAACAGTGTAGTGGGATAGATTTCGTTATCCTTATTTTAGGCAGGAAACTAGCCCAGAGTGACTCTGTGACCATCCAGGACCCCACTGCCAGGAAGAAGCAGAACTGCAACTTTGGAACTGAGGTCCGCCCTTCTTCGTCAGAGGCATTCAGTCCCCGGGACCCCCGGGCATGTCTCTGTGCTTAGGTTCACAGATACTCTGGCTGCTCCTAATTCCGAGACATCTAAGTGCTCCCCTGCTCTTCTGCATGTGTCCACCAGGGTATATCACACCGACATACGTAGGCTGCGTCTTCATTTATTTACTTATTTTTTTCTATGTGCCTATTTATTATACCTTACCCTTAACTTGGAATTCCATCCTTTAATGGAACAAACCCATGGTATTTGCTGTGGGCCAGACCTCAAGACAAAATATTAAACAAATACACCCACATACCTCCCAGGGATGGGCATCAGGGATTGATATAGGTAGCGATCAACTTGAAGAGTCCCTGACCCAACCCTTTACAGGAAAAGCCCCTGTTCTGTAATCGTGCCCGCTTGCTATGTGACTTGCTTCCCCATTTGATCCCAATTTAATCAGTTTTACCTGAACAATTCTTATTGGCTGACCATAGTTTTGTCCATTTTTCCCTCCCTTGGACCCCCCTCACCGCGTGGTTTTGCTCTATAAAAGTCCCTAGAAAAGACAGAGTCTGGGGCAACCTACTCAGGCCCCCCATCTGTCCCTCTCTGGGACAGCAGCTTTCTTTCCCTCAATAAATATATTCTGCTCTTAAAACAAAGAACAACAACAAAAAAAATCAAACCCATGTCACTGATCTACCACATGTATTTAGGGCTTTTGTTTTGTTTTTTTTTTTTAGAAACAGCTTCAGGTTGGCTACTTAATCAGTGTATTACTAGAATAAAATAAATTCAATTCAACATCATTGGCAGTTTAGTAAGAACAGAGCGTAATGTTTGGTGGTTTCTCTAAGGGCAGTGTTGGCTGTGATAGGTCTCTTTGCTGGAGTCCTTAGGTCCTGGTTTCCTTCCCTGCCTGCCACCCACGGAAAGGAGACAGAGTTAGTGAAGTGGATGGCATGGGCCTTTGGATCCTTGCTCAGGGCAGAAACTTAGAAAGAGGAGGCCTCCCCCAGGCCGGTGCTTTGGAATAAAGCATATATTCTTTTGGATGTTATTCCTTGCACATTAAGATCTTGCCGCTATGATTTCCCTGGATCAGAAGGGAAATCTTGGGAGGGCGGAGTGGGCCGGTGACCCATCTTTCACCTGATAGATGTCCGTACCCTTGTGGGGGTCGGGGGTGGGGAGCTGTGGCCCAGTGGGACCTTCCCAGAGCTGTAGGTTGCTTCTCCACTTCCCTCCATCCTGCGTCTAAAGCCACGAACAGTTGCTTGTGGAGCAATGAGAAAGAAAAATGAAAGCGCAGGGCCTTGCTCCCTTTTCCCAGTACCCGCTCTTGGAGAATGAACGCTGAGATGAAGTAGTTTGCTTTGAAAAAACCCTATAAGCACTTCATTTAAAGGCAGTTCTCCATCACGCAGAAGCACAGACATGTGAAAATCAGAAAGAAGTCACCAGGCAGCAGCACCAGTCAGTCCTGTGCCCCAAGGACCAAACCGTGGCAGCCGCAGTTCTTACCTGACCCCCAGAGAGTCGGTGCCTTTGCTGGTGGCTGCCACCTCTGTCTGCTTCTGTCCTCGGATGCTCTTGAGCTGTGCGTTTCTGGGCCGACTGTCAATCTCCCCAGGTTGGGTCTCCCCTTCCATGATAAGATCTTCGGTGCTTCTGCCATGGAAAGGTACAAAATCTTTTCAGTAACTTTTTGCGGGAGAACATCTTCCATATAGAAAATGCCCAGAGAACTTAGCAGTGTGGAAGGAGAGTGATAGTTAAGGGGGTGGACCCAGGAGGTCAGAGACGAGCCAGATTTGAAACTTGACTCACTCCCTAGTGTGGGGAAGCTCTCCCACTTGTTCCGTGGAAATAATAATACTTAATTCACAAGGCTGTTATCGCCATGAATGGGCACCATGACACCCGCAATTCCCAGGCTGCAGAGACCCTTCCTTTGCGAAGAAGTTTCTAGCCTTCAGTTCATGGGTGTTGGATGAGGCTGTTGGTAGCATGGGACACACAGTGGCCTTGCCCCTCCCCAAGTGCTCAGCCAGGTTCAAATCACAACACGTTTTGTGCCTCCACATTGATGTCCTCACGCTTATTAGCAGCAACCATGGTGTTATAGCAAGGTTCTGAGAATTTGGGACCAAATGTCTTTCTTCTTGCTCATGTCCTCCTCGCTGCTCTTCCAGGGTGGAGGACAGTAGTGGAGTGCTACCATGGGCTGAATCCCCAGTGAGCTCTTTTAAAGTTCACGCGTGGGATGAGGTTGCTAGCTGGTACTAAAAATGTCAACTTTCTTCTTCGGGTGTATTAAGCCTCGGTGCACGTGAATGGGGGAGAGATTTCTATGCATCTCTATGAATTCTTGGGTTTGAGGGGCACTTAAGTCATGGATAGCTGCTGTGAATCTCCCAGAAAATCTGCCTGGCTCATGCCCTTGTAGACAGTTAAGAGTTTCACAAACAGATGTAGAGAGCAGCCAACGTAGGGGTAAAGCTGGGATGGATCCTGGGCCGGTCCATGGGAAGACTGCCTTTCTTGGCATGTGGGGACCACTGGATTTATGTTTCAGGGTATATAGGTTGTAACTGCATGAAAGTTTCCATCCAGACTCAAGGACAGATGGGAGTTCTCTCTGGAAGCCTGTGGAGCTTATTTTAATACAATGCTGGGGTCTGCTTGCTCCTGATAGGCCCTGCAGCGGGGCGGAGACAGTGGTTCTGAGCTTCAGGACAGGAAATGATGCTCCACAGGGAGCTGACTGGCGGGAGCGTGCTGCGGGCAGTGTCTGGTGAGCTTACTGGAGCCTAAAGAGAGGATGGGTGTGGCCAGAAAAGAGAAGAGAGAGCGGAAGTTCTCTGGAAAATGAGAATGCATTCTTGGGAAGGTGTAGAGTGGTGACTAGGCACAATTTACTACAAGGGGAGATAGAGGAAGGGTGAGGGATAGAGGCATCGGGTGCTCTAAGTAAGGGATGTGCCATAGAAGAGGTGGGGAAGCGTTTTCTCAGCACCCAAAATTGCATTCCTTGAGGCAGAGCTTCTCCCTCCAGCACCTGGGGCTTCATTTCTCCCTAGCTTTTAGAGATTAACCACGGCTTCTTGGAGGAGGAAGCTTCAGGATTCTCACTGAGGAGTAAACTGGAGAAGGGGCAGGTTTGAGGCTCAGATCAGGTTGTAAGTCAGGAGGTTCTGCTGAAGAGGATTTTACCCTGATTCCCAGCAGAACTTCCACATTCCCCCCACACCCAGCAGCAGAACTTCACACTGCCTGCAGCCCCGCCCACCCACCTTCTTGGGTGTGTCCTCCCTCCCAGAGGCCCTCTGTCTTCCCCAGCCGGCACCAGCCAGCTGGTCCTTCGAGAAACAGTTTCATGTCCACCAAATCTGCTTTGACTCTGCCTTTTCCAGAGCCCTTGTTTTCTGTTTTTAAAGTGCCCTTTAGCGTTAATCGCTTAATGTTTAGTAAACTCTGAGTAGAATGTAAGCTCCTTTAGGACAAAGGTCAGTCACGCTGTTGTGCAGTGTTACTAATTGCAGAGTATGATTTGCAGGGCTCAAGAAGATGCACTCAGCCCCCAGCTATGGGGAACTTCAAAACCAGAAGACGCTTTTTGTTAAGAAAAACACCTAAGATTACTTACGATAAAAGGTCGTTTTTGTTGTTGCTCAAAAAGCTGCTTTCTTCAAAGCATAAAATCTTTTAAATGATTTCTGAAACTATTATTACCGTGTCTCCTCTAATCAAGGACTCAGTGAACTAAAGTAGTAAAGCTGAACACTTAAGAGATTGTTCTACCAGACCTGGCAGTGAAGTAAGGCCGGGATCTCTTGACCTTTGGCAACGTGAACCATCGTGCATGCAGCTGTAAAATTAAACTACAGTGATACCTCAGTTGTTGAACTTAATTCGTTCCGAATTCGTGCCCGCACACCGAAAAGTTCAAGAACGTATTTTTCCCACAAGAAATAATGGAAAACCAAATAATTGGATCAGAGGCCCCAAAATTACATTTGTAAATTTATTTCTCCAGGACCTTAATAAATTTTGCAATGATTTCTTTCTTTAACTTTATTCTGGCTTTCATTTCCTTTTAGCTTTACCACTGGTATTGCTTTCTTTGGGGTCATGGTTATAATATTTTACATAAAGTGCAAAAAAAAAAGCATGACACATGTTTTAGCACACTAACACAAGCGCTGTATGTTGTCCGGGTGAGAGTAGAACTTACACTGAAGCATCACCATTGCCCCTTTGTGTCCTTTGTGACTTACTTTCTGCTGGTACAGGTTTTTTCACTGAATTTTTTGGTTTGACTATTAAACACAGTTACACACACTGAGCATATTTATTTCCCCAACTCTTTTGTCCCAGTAGTGGAAAGTTGGAGCTTGGAGTTCAACAACTGAGGTATCACTGTGAGTTACTGCAACATTTAGCAATAATACATATAAATGGCCTAACTCATGCTCTAATGCTGATCAGCTGCTGAGAATGCTAGCTGCTGCTTCTACCATAAAGAGTAACAATACTAATACTCCTAATAGTGAGAAATCTGAGCTCACTCCCATGAAAGACATGAATTTGACCAGAAATATATTGCTATTCAGGACTCACAGGTTGAGAATAACTTATTCAGCAGCCTTCATTCCTGTGTGTTCTTGTTGATTCACTCCCTAGCCTTCTTTTATGAAATCCAAAAGGCAAATAGCAACTCTTTTTACAATAATTTGTTCAACAAATGCCTGTGTGCCCTTGCTATGCAATAATTTAAGAGTTCACAAAGATGAGTAAGATATTTTGGTCATGACCTTAAAGATTATGATCTAATTTGGCTGCACTGCTGACTTCTTCCTGTGTTATCCCTTAGATTCTATAGAAAGCAAACTCTTGCAAAACGGTCTTTCTTCTCTATCTGCAATCACAGTGACAAATGAGATAATCTTGCATGACTACATACTTTGCATACATATATTTAAGAGTTTCAAACATTCACCACTCATACCAAGTTGCTAATCACATTACCCACATGGCCTGTGAACCAAATTTTAGACCTTTGGGGCCTTTTTAGGGTGGGACTTCACCATGGCATGGTGCATATATTAATCTGCAGGAAACCCAACTCATATCTGCAGGAGGAGATGAAATACAAGTTCCTCTTCAGCTAGGATGACAAGCTTTTGCCTACAGAAAAGGGGAGGACATGTGTTCAATTCATTGCCAAGTAACTCAATACCTTGTTTGTCAATGAGTTTAGGGGGCTGTGCTTTGCTCTGGGTGACATACAGTCCCTACTCCCTTCCACTATCTGAGCAGAATGATACCTCTGGTACCAGAGAAACTGAGCAGTGACATCAGTGAAAGACATCTGCCTCAGTTCTCCTGATAATGCTGGGAGATCATGATTGTTAATGGACTAGTTCTTCATCTGACCAGGAAAGGAACAAAATGTACAAGCCCCATATTTATATAAGACTGACCAATGAGAACCAAGTCTGTTCAACTGTCTCCTTTCTTCTACACACCTAACTGTCCTCACATCCCTTACCATACACTCCTTTCTTCTACACACCTAACTGTCCTCACATCCCTTACCATACACTCCTTTCTTCTACACACCTAACTGTCCTCACATCCCTTCCCATACACAGACAGAGTTCTTGATAGATGAAACTGAAAGAGGAAAATATAATTCCTGAGACTGTGTCCTCCCCACCACCACCTTGATCAGGATTGCTGGTGCCAGGAAGGTGCCAAGATTCCTTCTAGGAGACGACGCTGCTTTGGAAAACTTACTGCTCCCTTTGGATTTCGGGAAGAATTACAGCCAGTGTTGTTTTGGCATAATAGGCAGCTTTCTGTATAGTCACAAATAATAGGTCGCGTCTATTTGCTTAGCTGAGCACACTAAAAATGTGTATCGTCTCACATACCCAGAGGAGATCTTAATTAAAGCCTAATTATGTACCATAAATATGTTTTATTTTGGAACTCAGGAGGTGGGATTTTTGATTTTAGGAAATGCAATGCCTAATAAGTAGGCAGGGAAGGGAATGTAAACATTGACTGAGCCCTTTAATTTGTCCCTCCTCAGTGTGGTTCTGGATGGGTTTTCAGTTCCACTGTGTGCTTTCAGAACAACCTGCCTGGTGCCACCCTCTCAGGGTGGCCTTGGCATGAGCTCATTCACGTAGCCAAGGGTATGATCAGACGCAGAAGAACCTGTTGGGCTTCTGGTGGTGACATTCCAAAGAGTGCCAGACATAGGAATTAAGAAATCAAATGAGCCTCCAGAGATGACGGGCTTTTATTGGGTGTTCACTCCAGTAGCACTAGAAGAAGCTGAGCCCGAGGAAAGTAGCAGTGCTGTCCCATCTTCCTCGTCCCCTGTGCACCACACCGCCTGGTATTGTTCACGGCACTGCCTTCTGGCTCTCCTGTCCACCTGCTTTCTGGAATCCTGGCATCCCCCTGTCCCTGACTCCACTGTGCTTGTGCTTGCCAGAGGTGACCTACCACACGAGGTAGATTTTACTGGGTCTTCTGGGGCCAGGCAGGCACAGCACAGGGGTCTCTGCTGGAGTTGGGCAGGAGATGGGGAAGTAACAGAGAGACGCTGGAGACCCGGGCAAGGGGCCTGGGGAGGCGGAAGCTGGGCTTGTCCTGGTTGGAAAGGTAACTGGAGGGAGGTTCAGGGAGGAGCCCTGGGCTGCTGGGGAGGCGGGCGGCACTAGTGGCAGGAGGAGGCAGCAGTAATTGGCATTAGGCTGCAGAACAGGGGAGAAAGCAAAGACGGAGCAGTAAGGGGAATATTCAACACAGAACAGGGGGTGCTCCCTGGTGTCACCTGCACAAAAGAAAAAGAGCAATCAGGAAGCAGCACTCACGGTGGGAAAGGACATTAAAAACCCTGTGCATGAATCAAAACTCAAAACTTCTTTGGGGCCTGGGAGTGGGGTCTCCGGGTGTCACAGATGCAGTGGGCCTGGCTTCTGCCGGGAAGGCACTCACTTAGATAGATCTGAGTCACTGAGGAGTTAACCTAGGGGAATGGCGTCACCCTTGCGCACTTTTCTGGCCACTGCTCTCCAGCAGCCCTGACAGATGTAGGGCAATTCTTCCCGAGAATGCCCCGAGGCAGCCGCGTGGAAGGCTCTTCCTCTCATCTCCCACCGCCAGTCTAACGAGCTGTTCTGGCAGCAACAGATGGCAGCCCGTGGGGTCTCACTCTGTCAGGCTCTCCCCTGCAATCCTCCAGCTGCCCCCACTAGGAGGCTGTGATCGTGCCCTAATCTGGCCTTTCTGCTGCGGAGGGGAAGCTTGGGAAAAGAAGAAAAGCAGCAGAGAGATCCTGGTGGGATCACGGGAAGAGAGAGGAACCAAGCGGGGAAAGGCAGGTGGACACGCAAGGCGTCCAAGGGAAATTAATGATTTGCTTTCTAATTTCACACTCTAACTGCCAACCTCACTCGAGGTGAAATACAAGTGCCGGATGGAGTGATGACTCAGAGTTCTCCCCGCATGCCTGCCACTCGCCGGCTCGGTCACCTTGAATCACTGCTTACCTTCTCAGAACCTGTTTCCTCATTTCCAAAACGAGACAGGGGTCTCTCTCACCTTGCTCCTCCAGGTGTGATCCTTTGGCCAGCAGCACGAACCTATCCAGGGACTTCTTAGAAACGCAGGCTCAGCCCGCCCAAAACTACCGAGGCTGAATCTGTATTTCATCAAGGTGTTTCCCACGGACACAATGTTTGAGGAGCAAGGCTCTGAGTCAGTGGAGTGAGAGTCACCTGTAGTGCTGGTTCAAAACAGTTTTTGAGGCCCCTTTATCAGAGATTTTGCTGCTGCTATGGTTGGGGTCAGTGTCTCCTAAAGATCCGTGTGTTAAACACTTGGTCTCCACAGCGGTGTGATTGAGATGACGGGGGCCATTGTGAGGCGGAAGGGACTTCAGATCATTGGAGGTGTGTCCTTGAAGGTGACTGTGGGACTCGGATCCCTTCCTCTTTCTTTTTCTTCCAAGCCCCAAGAGACTTGGTTTGTCGCGTCACACCGGCCTGTCATGGTGTGCTGCCTGCCCACCATCCCGAAGCAATGGATCCCCCATCGTGGACTGCAACCTCAAAAGCCATGTGCCAAAAGAAATTATGCCTCTTTGTAAGTGAGTTATCTCAGGGTTTTATCACGTGGCCCGCAGCTAACACGGAAACCCTGGGTCAGGGATGGGAAGCAGGCGCTTGCGTTCCAGGGAGGTACCGTCCTCACGGCTCTCACCATCAAAGCAGTTTGGGAGCTGTGTAGCTAAACCACTTGATTCTAAACTGAGTGGTTAAAATCACTGTAACCATCCAGCTGAAGACCATTACCTACAGCGGAGGACCTTAGTCCTGTGGAGTGACTCAGGAGTGACCTGCTACAGAGGATTCAAGGAGCTGTCATCCACTCTTCCCTTCCTCAGTGTCTCCTGGCGTAGTTCCTACTTCTCAGATCGTTTTTCTCTGTACTTAATCACCTTCCCCCACTCTCCTTTAACCGTTCCTATTGCCCAAAGTTCCTTCACCGTCTCGCTTCTGACTCCGTTCGCTCACACAGGCAAGGCCTTCTTGCAGGTTTCAAGCCCTCTTCCTCTCCGAGGCCTTGCGCTCCCACTAGCGATGGGGCGTGCTCTCATGATCGGCTGACCTGGGGGCCCATGGGCTGCCTGGCATTTCCACCTCGCGGTCCTGGCTGCACCTCAAGGACAGCACCGCAGAACGGGACCCACACTTTTCTTCTTGCTTTCTATGGCAGCTTCCATGGGCTTAGTTCTTCGGGCGAGATCCCTGAGTTCTCTGCGACCCTCTTTCTGCTGATCTCAAGTCACCAAGCTCTGCGAGGCTCGTTTCCTCAAGTACCCCTCAAGCTCACACCCTCTTCCTTATCCTCTCTGCTTTGCTGCAGGCCTTGGCATGCGCAGCACCCCTTGCTGGGCCCATCTTTCTTGCTCGCCTCACCTGGCTCAGTCCCCTGTTCCTCAGGACTTTTATCTTGCTCATGTTCGCCACAAGCACTTGGGACTTACCTCGGTCAGGGTGTGCACCGTGGTACCGGCCCTCTAGGCCAGGAGCCCTTGGGGGACAGGTTGTGAGTGTTTTATTTCTGTTTCCCAGGCCCCCCAGAGAGGCTTCATGAAGCGAAGAAAGGGCTGAGTGAATGAGTGATGGATGAAAAAAAATTTTCTTTCCTGGTATCATACACCTTGGGACAAGGGGTGCAGTTGAATGCATTCGGGAATTTCCCTATAGGTACTAGATAAATGGCTGACTGCGTTGATCGATATAAAGCTTTTAGAACTAAGATATACTGTGTCCAACATTTCAAACTAAAGTTTCTTCGGCCAAGGAGTTTTCTCATAGAGATGCTGGCCCAGGTGCAACGGGTAGTGATGGGAGCAGGCTTCCTAAACAGAGGAAGGACTGGGGGATCGACTTTGCCTAAGGCCCGGTCGATAACCTGGATCATAATCCCCTCATCCACCTGGTGAAGCAGGTCGTGCTGTTAACTCCATTTCACTAGTGAGGAAACTGAGTTAAGAGGAGTCACTAGCGCCCTTTCATAAAGTCGTAGAGTGGTAGAGTCAGGCTTCACAGGGAGGACCTCACATGCTGTGCTGTGTGACACCCCTGAGCCTCTCTGTCTCAGAAGCGTGAGCAAAAGTAGACTGAGAAGTATCATTCTCTCTATTAAAATGCGAGTAGTAATTTCCATTGTTTTTATTTTTTCCAACTTGGGCAGACAGCTTGGAAAGTTGTTGGATGCCACTGGACTTGCCGAGAAACCCATGAATCTTGGCCTCTCAGAGAAAATCTTCCGTAGAATTTATTTACAAGGAAAATTATGAAGATTTAGGACTTGCCCTCAAACTCTCTTCCAGGCTGCTCTTTAAACAAATATTTCTTAGTCCAAAAGGGACCACAGTTATTTTAGATTTTTATCTTTTAAAACCTGAACTCACTGCTTTCGCTTCGTTTTACAAGAACATGTCTTCAAGATAAGCCACAAGAAGACAGAATAGGTCGTGCTCTTCCTGTAAATCTGAATCTGGTAATGACTAACGCTGAACTCAGTGATAAGTGAGGATAATTTCGGAACACTTGGCTTTGTTTTAAAGGGCACGGTTTTGGAAGCAGGCTCTCAGGACCCCATCCAGACCCATTTTCCTGCAACATAATTTGGGGCGGGCTCTGCCCAAGCTCCAGGTAAGAGCAAAGAGCCGGAGAGGGCACAGCGGCTTCCTACGTGCCCGGATGTGGGGTAGGGAGGCGCCAGCACCCACAGCACATTGGCCTTTGGGTCTCAGAGTCCTAGAGAGGAGAGGCGGCTCTTTTCCAGCCGAGGTTGCGGCTGGGAAAGGTGCGAGGGCAGGCAGGAGTCGGAGGCCGCCAGAGCTCCCTGATTGTCCCTGCACCCCTACCCTTGCTGGGCCTGCTGACCACTCTGTATTCTCATGCACAGAGAATGCCGAAGCGTTAGCAACTCTGCGAGGCTTACTTCTCATTCCACACCAGTGTTCACCTTGGCCATGAAGGGGAATTTCTGAATCAGTTGCACATCAGACCCAGCTGGGTCTTGATACTGCCTGCATTTTCCATGTCTTTTTGGAGACAGAGCATATCTTTGGCTTGGGGAATGCTTTCTGATTGTTCACCTTTTTTTTCCCATCTAGTGTTTCACTTTGGAGCATAGTAGAAGTGTCTACCTGCATTTATGTTAGAGATTTTAAAAATACATCTTTGATTTTTGTGAAAGAAAAAGAATTGGCAGTGGGACAACCTTAAGACAAGGAAAATAATGTTTTCTAGTCTATTGCCTTTGCCAAATGCTGCTCTCATGTGCTAGATATCATAATGCTATAATTTAGTGAGCGATTACAGTGTCAGGCACTGACTGTTGCCAGCTGATAGGACCTGTTTCTACCTCCCATTTTACAGACAATAAAACTGAGGCACAGAGAAATTACTTGCCAGAAGGCATATGGCAAATAGGAAATGTTCCATGTTCTAACCCAAGCATTTTGATTCCAAAGCACTTGCCAGTAGACTGCATACCCCGCCACGCACAGAGGGATAGTGAGGGGGCTCATGAATCTACACACCCAAAGCAGTCCCATGGCACATGTGAGCTTAAGCTTGAACGTGTGACCTCCTTTGGCTAGTGTGACCAATGGTGAGACTCTAACACTGTCTCAGGTGTTTGTAGCGGGCGCTGATTTGCCCTGTGTTAATACGTGTTTCGGGAGTTCTAGATGGCAGCTCACATTCAAACAAAAACTTTTTTACGATGTGAGTTATCATCACATGATTCACAGTAAATCAAATTCCCTTCCCCAGACATTTATCTGTCTGTCTATCCATCTGTCTGTTTATCTATCTATCAATTATCTATCTATCTACCGATCTATCTAATTTTTTATTTAGTAGAGGCTTGGCATAGCAGGGCACAGTGGTTCGTGCCTGTAATCCTAACTACTTGGGAGTCAGAAGAGGCAGGAGGCGGTAAGTTGAGGCAGAAGAATAGTAAATAGTAGTCCAGCCTGGGCAGCTTTGCAAGATTGTGTCTCAAAATAAACATTTTAAAAGGGCACTCTGCTAGCGAGGAAGTCAGAGAGTGAGCCTACACGTGTTAAATGAATGGACTGCAACACACCAGCGCTGTGTTTTTAGCACAGCGTCTTGGTCAATCTCGATCGCTGCAACTTCAATGTAGCCTCGGTGGCACTGACGTCGGCCTCCAGGACCGCGGAGGGGAGGACAGCCGGCCCCGGGCAGTTCACAGCTGCACGAGTCTCGGACACGGGCTGGGGCCGTAATCTAGTGATAAAGCTGGAGGTTTGTAAATGCCTTTACTACAAGTAACATCTTTTATTTGATGGAAAAGCTATCTTCCTGCCATGTTGGCTCTCCGGCTTAAACCTCAGTATTTCTGTCAGTAATTCAAATTTGATGTTTTATAGGAGGAAAAGTGAATGCTGTATGGAGTTTGCTCAGTCTAAAAAATACATCTGTATTAATCAGACAAACTAAACTATTGAGTGAGCCTCAACAGTTCATGTCAGTGATTTCTCCCTGCAGATGACAAAACAAACAGCTTCCAGCTTTCAACAAAAGCTAAAAATTATACTGAGTGGAGCTGCATTTTTTTTAAACGTACGCTGAAATCTTTCCAATTAAAAACATCCTTAATTCAATCAATTACAAATTATATTTTGAGGTATTTGCAGAATGACGTCATTTGCTGTATTTCAGCCTTAAAACAGTTGAGTTAGAAGCCTCATTCTTACTGAAAGTCTTGAAAAAGAACAAAATACGAGGATGCTTTCCCCTGAGTAAATAAGGGGGAAGAGTTGGGACTTTGCCTGCAAGATATCGTTTTAGAAATCAGTTTCGGGTTTGGGAGGAGGCGGGGTAGCCCAGGGGAGGAACACTTGCCTCGCACGTGTGAGGCCCTGGCTTCCCTCTCCACCATCAAAGGGGAAAAATGTCATTTTGGCTTTGACTTCATTAAAGCAATAAAATATAGGTGTTTCCTCTGAGTGAAAGCTGCATTTTCTAAAAATGCATTGGGACAACTGGACAGGCAGTTGCATGACAGGAGCTATTTAGCATTAGGAAGTTGCTGTGATTGGGACTTTAATGAATTGCATGCTATTTACAAATTCCTCTGCAGTCAGTTTGGATCCTTTCCCAGAAGGCAGACCTCTCTGCCTAGTTGCCCCGGCTTATGGGCAGCTCCCTCAGGATTCAAGTTTTCCCTCAGATGTTGGTTTTGATGGGGATGAGCCTGAGGAACTCTAAACTTTCTGTTAGTTTTAGCTCCTTTCTAGATACTATAAAGATACTCCTGCCCCAAGCAGAAGTACAGAGTGAATTATTCACCAAATTGCACAAAAGGGGGATTTATCAAGTTCCTTTCTCACGCAGAGGACAAACGCAGGACTAGAGAACTTTATTGCTCTTCCTCTGGCTATAAATTATGCCATTCAGATGCTTCTGAGAGCTCCTCTTGCCTGAGTCATAAAACTTCATACCTGGGGCCAAACGCCTTTATTCCCAAAGAAGGGTGAAGAACATGAAAAGGCAGCAACTCTAGGATGCACCATCCAAAGCAGATGATTGGGCAGAGAATGTGGGTGGTCAGGCAGTTACTTTGCCGAATTCATGCTTCTTGGACTCTGAAGTTAATTTTACCATTTGCATAGGATCATTAGCCACTTGCAAAACACTAGGTTTCACGAATACCACCAGTTTGATTGTTGTGCTCTTTCAGACAGGGAATTCATATGTCGTGAATTTCAGTAAACCAGCCACTCACCTGGACACGGTTTGCTAGGGCCCACTTGCGCTGGTTTCCTGGGAGTCATAGTACTTTTATGTTTCTGCTTGACTGGTGGCTGGTCAATTGCTGGAAGTTTGGAATCACACTTAGCCCCAGATTTCCTGGCTGATGGTCTTGGTTCATACTCTTCCTCACCAGAACTCTGCTGAAAATAAAAGATGTCTTGAGTATCAGGGGCCGGGGAGGGCACCTCTGCTAGGCAGAGAAAAAAGAAGCCAGGCAAAGGCAGCACCCTCCATCAAGAATCCTGAAGCATCTTGCCATGCTCAACACACCCTTTTACCTCTGAGGTTTTAATAGGCTGGGAGTTTCAACTTCAAAAATAAAGACAAAGGTAATGAGTCTATTTTTAGAGCGTTGTGGAAAAAAAATGCATTTCTACAAGTCTGTTTTGCAGCATGTTATGAAAAGAAAGTATTTCTGACCTTAAGTAATTGAGGATCAATGAACAGCACAGGATAAAAGCTATGTATGAGCGGAGGGAAGGGTCGTGCTTCTAAATTTTTGGCTGTTTTTTTTTATCTGAACTACTTTGGGAGAGGGGAAGAGAAAAATGTTCCCTATGTTAATCATATACTTGACAATGAAAAGAAAATTTAGATAATGTGGTAGAGACAGATTAAATCAGACCTCGGTTTCAATATCCTCAATTACTGGTGCAGTGCAAGACAGATGAAGCTCTTAAATTCCCTCCTTGTCAGCCTTCTATAAAGAATCCAGTGTAAATCTATGCACGAACAATCATGATTCCTGCAGCGTCAGAATATCTCAACATAGCCACGGCAGGCGCAATAAAGATTATTCAGGCACTCAACAGCTTTATACTTTGCCACACTTACACCCACCAAAAAAATGATGCAAATAGTATAAATGACTGTCAGAAAACTGATCTGGTGGTTTAAGAGCCACCTTATGGCTCCAAGTCCTTTAGATGTTAGCATGGTTTGCTAGACTATACATTCAGCAACCAGTAAATTCACAAAGTGTGTGTGTGTGTGGTGTGTGTGTGTGTTGGGGGGTTCTTTTACATTGCGTGTTAGTCTAGTACTGGAAATTTCTGAGAAAATGTGGTTTTTTGCAGACACAGAATGCTAAATTGATGTCCCCAGCACCTCCCCAACTGTTGCAGTGTGTATTGATCTTGTTCATTGTTTTCACTGACAGTTGTGGCATTTTCATTTCACAGGTTCCTGACTCAGGAAAATGCTCTGAATAGCTTTGAATTACTGGGTGCAGTGTAAGACAAACTAAACTCTAAAAAAGCCCTCTCCTTGTCAGTCTAATATACAAAAGTCTCTATAAATCTACAGGTGAACAGATTTTTATGCTCCAAGATGATAAATCATGTTTTTAAATTTAGTGTTTGGAGACAGGCCCCAAACAAATCATTAATCCACATATTTCCAGAAAACAGGCTACCTTCAGATACAGAAGGAGGAAAAGGCCAGGATATAATGAGTTGATTGTTCTCTCCTTTCCCTTTTGACCCTGTGACTTAACAGAAATCCTTAAAGATTATTCTGAAATGTCAAAGAGGAAACATTAGGTCATTTCTGAGCATGAGTTCTGCAGTCTCGGAAAGGAGAACGTGGGCAAATTTTAATTATGTTTCAAGATTGTCATGGCAATTGGCTGATGGAGGTCACATCCTGGATTCGGGTTCTATGGGGAGCAGCGGTAAATATGGGCCGGACTTCCTTCCCCAAGCTGTCCCATGCAGACAGTTTACGTTAGCGGGCTGATAACTCTGCTCACCCGAGGGTCCTGCACCTCAGCCTTTTCTTTTCCCCACCAAAAGGCAGCAAAGATGCTCCGGGCTAAGACTCACAACACCTGCGCTGCAGCATCAGGAACAGGTGTCTGCTGACACTGCAGATCCGCCTCCATCACCCCTGGCCAGGGCAGGAATTCTTTGCTGCCCCCAGGCACTGCAGAAGGGGCGGAGCTGGGGAAGAGACTATTGGGTGGGTGTTAAACCCTGTTTATCCTTCCTTTACCCACTCATTATACCTCCAGCCTTCAGTAGTCTGAAGAGGTGGAAGAAAGCCCGGCAATTAAGCGCTGCCTATTATGTATGGAACTGTGCACCTGCTCCCAGCCTCCTCCTTCTCTGGTTCCCGGTTCTATCGCCCGCTCTTCCAGGTAGTGATCATACTTAAGAGTCCAGAAATTGTTACTAGAAGTGGGTGATTTGGTCTGTTGGAGACAGAAGTTACAATAGCAAGACTCGCCATACTTATGCACGTGTTAATATATCTTTTCCCGCTTGCCTCACTGAAAATCCTAAACAAAGTGCTGTAGGCTTTTCTGCCTTTGTTTGTGTCCTTTCATGTTCTCGGCCATTCTCATCAATCCGCTCTCAGGAAAAGCCACTGTACCATCTGGCAAGGCTGATCCTTGGTGGGAGAAGTTGTAGCACCTCTTTCTGGCACTGAAGTATGGTCATTACAACTCTGAAATCCAGCTCTCTGTGAGTGAATTCTGACTTTTGCACATAGGAATTATATGGCACTGGGTTAGTTTGGTTCTTCACATCTCAGATTTTCTCACCTTTGAATAATAGTATCTACCTTTTGATAGTTTAATGAGAAGTAAATAAGCTGTGCCTATAGCACTTATAAGAAATACCTATATATATAAATAATATAAATGTTGGCTTTTATAATTATTCACATTTAGCCACTTTAAAATTTTTTTTTTTTTCCGGTACCGGGAATCGAACTCATGACCTTTTGCTTGCCAGGCAGGCACTGTGCCGCTGAGCTAAATCCCCAGCTCAAGCCACTTTAAAATTAACTAGCTAATCACGGAATATTACTCACTTGTGAAAACAAAGGCAAAGGCCCCAGTGAAAACCTACTGGATTTCACCTCTTCCAAAGAGATACAAATCTGCAGAGGTGGATCAGCCCCTCCCTGGCACCCCTGATTTCTTCTACAGGCCGTACAATTTATGACAGTCATAAATGGTTTAAATTTATCCAGGCTTAAGAAAATAGGGCTTTTTTCAGGCAGTAATGCTCTTATGATAAATATTTAATAATATTTAGAGATTATCAAACAATAATAATTAAAAAATTTTGATTTAAAGTTGACTTAAAACCATGTCTTTTTTTCTTGTAATTTTGAAAATTACAGTTTTCATTTCTTGAAATGTCACATGGAGGTGGAGACAGCAGCACATTGCTATTGCTTGGGGGAAGAAATCAGCTCTGTCTTTTAAAATTAGAGCCTAAAACATTAAAGCGTGTCCATGCGCACAGACACACACACACACACAGACACACACACACACACACACACACAGCGCTCAAGCAAAAAGCCATACCAAAAAAAAACCTCAACCTACATGATATATGAGAGAAGTTTAATATTGGTGTTTGCATGAAAATCCTAATGAAGCCTTGTTAGTTAAAATAAGTCACAAGGGCCAATCAAAATATAGCGTGAATGTTTAAATTTTAAAAATTTATTATAATAAAAGACACGTGGCCATTAATTTCCCTCAGCGTAATCCCTCTTCCTTTGACGCATCTATCCCGTTCTCCGGAGCAGTTCTCGAAGTCCACTTGCAAGAGTGTCTTCCTGAGGTGTGATCAAAAATGTGGTGACTGCCCCTGTTGAGTCTTATCTGAGGGACCGGCGGAGTCATAAAAACGTTATGGTGGACCCTCGTTCACCTTACTGCCTGGCACTATGCACCTTCTGGTTCTCCCCCAAAGTCAAAGTGACCAGCGAAGGTAAACATTTTGAATAGATTCAAGACATTCAGGTGGCTGAAGTCCACGGAAGACTCTCACAGAAGAGCACTTCCAGAACGGCTTCGAAAGTGGCAAGAATGAAGGGATTAGTGTGTTCAAAGCACAGGGGAAGTATCTCGAAGGTGACTAATGGCGGTGTCTTTCATTGGAACATCAAAAAAGTTAGATATTCACCATACTTTTTGATCACACCTGACAAAATGCATCCTTTTCATCTGGAGTAGGAGTGTTGGATTTAATGTTTTCTTACGATCCCGAGTGGCCCTTCTGGCATCACACATAATAGAGATACTGTGCTCCCGGGGCCTGGCGCTCTCACTGAAGGGCTTGAGTAATTAAGGGACTGAACGGAGCGGGGGCAGTGAGTGTAGCTGCGTTCTGACAGGATGAGTTGTATCTCCTGGGAGATGGGAGACACAGGGCAGGGAGAAGGGGTGCCTGTCCTTGGGGTGTGAGAAGGACCATATTTTTAAAAAACTAGGACCTCACAATATCGTGTCCAAAGCGGGTAAGCTGACAGTGAACAGAGATGCTCGGAAGACATGCAGACTCAAGTAGACGAGGAAGAGCTGCAGTTACTTCCCAACACGAGCCTGATGGCTCCTTTCCAAGACCCAGGAGATTGGTTCTTAACTGGCGTGCCACCTCCGTCCCTCCCTCGAGGTGCGCTGCCGTGCTCTGATTGATGTGTGCGCAACCCACTTTTGCCATGTGTCAGGGAAGGGAGGCTGAGCTGAGTGGATCTTATGACATAGTGTAGATCAGGGCACGGCTTTCTGTGAATAAGAAGGAAGAGGAAAAGAGAATGTCAGGCTGCCGCCCGAGAAAGGCTGTGTATTTATTACACTTGAAATACACTGGGCTTTCTGAGACTAGGAAAGGCTGCGGTCAAGGTAGTGAACCTCAACAGTCAAACAAAGACAACATGGCAGGGTTGACTAGGGGACTGCGTGTGCAAACGAGTGTCTTTAGAGGGCTGGCCCGGAAGTCCTCGTTCACATCATGCTATCGTAGGGGACTGAGGGCAGCTTGTATAAGTAGCTTTCTGGGTAGAATAGGTATCTTTGCAGAGCAAAGCGATATATCGTGTATTCTATGCCAGGTGCTGCTGATGCACAAAGCAGACTTGTCCAGGAAAATACCTAAGAGGCAGAAAATCCTTCCCATGTGCTCAGGACATGTTAAGGTTGCTAGAATTGTGAAGTTATAAAGAACTGGGAATAATAGCCTCAGCGGCTCTCAGGGCTGGTGGGGAGAGACTAACATCAGCCCTTCACTTTGCTACCAGAATTTTTTTGGAGTGAGCTGGGCTGCCACGAGCATAAATATCATGGCACTTGTCTCTACCACGGGGTTCTACAGAGAACCCTTTGGCTTGCAGCCTTCTGTCTGATTCTCATGTGAGCAAGTTGGCATGACCCCACCCAAGGCCCTGATCTGAGAGCAGCAGTGGGCTCCGTGATGAAAACCTCCATCCTGTTTGACTGCCATTGGGTTTGCTCTCCATCTTGATACCGGGAATCGAACTCAGGACCTTGTGCTTGCCAGGCAGGCGCTTGTGCCGCTGAGCTACATCCCCGGCAGGGTTTGCTCTCCAGAAGGGAGGCGTGTGGGGCTTTAGAACTTGCTTTGTGATAACCATCACTATACTGAGGAGTTGCCACTGGGGGAACCTTAGCACTTCGAGCTACTGGGATGGGAAGCCGAACACGTTTTCCGACACCTTCCAAGTAGTACTGATACGACAGTTAACCCTTCGCGTGGTGCAGAAGTCACCATCCACATGACGTGGGTGGTGAGCACACGTTTTCTTGGTGTGGGTTTTTCATTTCTAGTGACGCCTGTGTTCTGTGTTCTCTGAGTGAGTGGGATGGGTTCTGTGTGGTGACAGAGGGGAAGGAAGAAAGACGTGATCAGACAATTGTTGGATTTTTAAAATTTGGGCACTAACATGTAGTGTTTAGTAGCACGTCAAGCGTCAAGACTGGCCTGGAGCTGGGTATTTTTCAGATACGGCATCACTCCAATGTATTTCTCACTCATCTTTTATTGGAATTCATGTTCCCTTCTTAGCTGAGAGGAGCCTCTGAGCAACAGAGAGGACTTGGCCAGTGGGAATTGTCCTCCGAAGTGCCTCTCACTCAGTGAAATAGATCCTGAAGCTCGGAAGGCACCTGAGAAGTGTCAGACGCACCCACTTGGTCTTCAACTCCATTAGAGGCTCTGAGCAGAGATACCAGAACAAGAGCTTATAACGTTAATCAAGTGAGAAGTTGGGTCACATCCACTCTAGAAACGGTTGCAAATCCCGGGAAGAGGTGAGAAATCAAGAGAGAGGGGGTGGCGGCGTGTGCTGGGACTTGGAGTGAGTACACTCCGGCCGGGCATGGGTGGAACCAAGCCCCCTGGCTGGACTCCAGGCCGGTCAGGCGAACGGTCCTGAGTGGCGGGTGGGAGGACCCGGGGTCAGAGTGTGAGGAGCTCTGAGAGTCCGGCCAAGGTCTGAGAGTCAGCGTGGTAGGAAATGGGGTCCGTCTGAAGGGCTCTGGGTAGGAAAATGGTTAAAGTGGAACCTAAGGTTGACCTCGGATGTTTCACTTGGAGGAAACAAAGCATCCTGGAGAGGTGCTAGTGACATGATCTCTCTGTCGTTTCCATGGTTTTTATAAAGTGTAATTTTTTTTTTTACTACAAAAGAAATACAGTGAAAAAATTAAGACAAACATAAAGAGAGAAAACTTAAAACATTCAAAAACACATTGATCTTGAAATAAAAAGGATTAATAGTTTGCTCTGTTTTCTTTCAGACCCTTTTTAAGGACCTGGTTGGTGACTCCCAGCTTTCCACTGAAATCCCTATCAGCACCGGAGGAGCTGACGCCAGGCTGTAGCTGCCCACCTCACGCTGAATTTTTCAGAATCCCCTGCAGCTGTGGCGTGGCCTCAGGAGGACGTCTCACCAGGGGAGTGTGAGCAGAAGGCATGTGAACAGCCTGCTTTAGAGAGAATGTCTGGCCTCAGACCTCGGCCTGGCCTCTTTCTGTGGGCTGGGTGCTTTGGCAGTCACACGCTGAAGACAGCGGAGGACTCTCGGAGAGCCTGTGTAGAGAAGAGCTGCCTGCGGCTCTATTACGTGCAATCAGGACTGTCACATGTGAAACATAAATTTCTACCTTGGCAGAGCCATTGTATTTTTGGTTCTTTATTACAGCAGCTAACATTACCCTAATGTACACACTTTTTTTCTTTTTGTGCTGGAAATCAAACCCAGGGCCTTGTGCACGGTAGGCAAACGGTTTACCACTGTGCTGTATTTTTATGCACGTGGATGCATGTTACTTTTTTGTTCAAAGTAAAATTATACCATACGTATTGTTTCAGGTAGCAGTGTATTGCAGCAATAAGGAACTTTCTAAAAATTTTGACCTTATTTTGAAAACTTTCAAGTCTATAGAGAAGTTGAAAGAATAGATTAAATAACACCCATTTTCTTAACCTTGTCAGTTTGCTTCATCTCTCTACATTCTTTTTCCGAATAATTTCACAGGGACTTGGTTGGGGGTTTAGCTCAGTGGCACAGCGCCTGCCTGGCAAGTGTGAGGTCGTGAGTTCAATTCCCGATACCAAAAAAAAACAAAAAACAAAAAAAACAAAGCGAGTTCACAGTGACCTATATCAAGATACTTTAGCTCCAAATACTTCAGGATGCATCTCCTGTCAAAATAGAATTCTCCTACAAAGCTGTAATACTATTTAATAATTCCATAATATTATTTAATATTCAGAGTATATTCAAACCCAGTTGTTCTCAAGATGTCTTTTGAGCTATTTATTTGGGTTAGTCAGTCAACCTGAATGGCATGCAATTATTATGGACTTTTAGTCTTTTAATCTAGAATAGTTCTCTGACCCCCACTTTTTGCTTTTTTTGTGATTTTTATCATTTTTAAGATATAGTCAGCTGCCTCATAGAATATCTCATGTTATGGATTTTTTCTTATCTTATTAAGACAGGGTTTCACCATGCATTCAGGCTGGCCTTGAACTCACTTTGTAGCCAAGGCTGGCCTTGAGCTTGCAGAGATCCTCCTGCCTCAGCCTCCCAAGTGCTGGGATTACAGGCATGTGCCACCATGCCTGGCTTATGTTCTCTGAATTTGATTGTTTCCTGAAGCAAAATTCAAGTAAACCATTTTGGGTATGAGTGTTGGATAGGTCTTTCTTTATAACATCACATCAGCAGCCATAACATTAGGTTGTCCTAATACTGCTAATGCTACATTTGATCTCCAGGATAAGGTGAATTGTTGGATTCATCAGTGTTAAGACTTAGTTTACCCCCTTTGTAGTTACTAGATTTTCTGTGGGAAATTCCTTCAACTTTTGCTTAGTAGCCTGTTCCTAAGCAATATTTTACCCAATGATTTTATCATCTTTTAATGTGCTTCGCCTAAATTGATAATTGCATTGGAGTTGCCAACTGATGACTTTCTAATTCTGCGTTTCTTCTGCAATTATTAGCTAGCGTTCTTCTCTAAAGAAGTGCTTTCCTGATTACACCTGTAATTCTAGCACTTGGACAGCTGAGGAGGGAGATTGTGAATTTGAGGCCAGCTTGAGCTATGTCATGAGATCCTGACTCAGACAAACAAGCAGACAAATGCTTTCTTTCCCTCGCCGTGGTCTCAAGGATATGGTGTGTGTTATGGCTTGTGTCTGGATGCTCCCCCAAAGCCTCAGGTGGTCATAGGTGGGGCTTTTTCAGAGGTGGCTGAATCTAGAGTGTGTGACTGATTCATGGTGCAATGCTAGGGTTAAGAGGAGTATTACTAAAGCAGTCCACTGATTGGTTTGGCACCCCCCTAATCCCGGTAGCCTGATACAATATAAGGGGCACGAAGAGAGTAGTCTTGTCCCTTGCTTGCTTTGCTGCCTTCTGTCTGCCATGAACTGTTTCTCCTGTGTGATGCCTGTCTGCCATGCCACCCTGCCTTGGAGCCAGCTGATTATGGACTGAAACCTCTACAGACTGTGAGATAAATAAACCTTTCCCTCCTTAATGTTGGGTGTCGGATATTTGGTCCCAGCAATGAGAAGATTAACTAAGACGTGTGTGTGTGTGTGTGTGGTACCAGGAATTGAACTCAGGACCTCACACATGCTAAGCAAGCACTCAATCACTGAGGTAGATGCCTGGCTGTTTTTATTTATTTATTTTTTTTGAGATAGGGTCTTGCTAAATTGCCTGGGGCATCCTCAAGCTTGCAATCTTCCTGTCTCAGCTTCCCACATAGGTAGGATTACAGTTGTGTGCTACCACATCCAGCGTCAAGGATATGTCTTAATCAATTATTAAATTTATTAGATGTTCAAATAGTACAAAAAATGGTGAGTTACAGTCTACTGAAGCTGGCTTTGACCCAATCTCTGAGGACGTCTTTGCTTTCTGGTATAATAAAATACCCTAGTTCACATTTTACGTGATCTGCCAGACCTGATGTCAGCTACTTCTCAAGAAGTCCTGGTTCCTTTTAGTTCAGAATACTATTTAGAAAGTTCTCGGCATGTCCATTGCTAGTGGAGTGACATTTTTTCTAAGTCCTTTCACTGGAATTAATTAGAAATGTCTAAAAAATCACGAATTCACAGAAATATTTCTAATTAAAATTTAGCATTACAAGGTTTTCCATTACTTTCTTTATATTTGTAATTCTTTTCTCTCATATTTAAAATATTTATTCCAAAATTATACTAATGTATTTATTCATTTGTTTTACTCTGCAATAAATATGAAATAATTTTAAAATTCTAATACAAATACAAATGTAAGAATAAATATGCTAAATAAGGTTTATTCTTTTAAATTCACTTTGTGTTTAGAATATATTCCTCCTTGTATAAATATCATATATTTTTAAAAAATTAGTAATGGTTGTTATATTACATATTGTTATTTTCAATGAAGTTGCTCAGATTACCAGATGTAAGAATGCAAGATTGATCAAACAATTAAAGAGAATAAAAAACAATAAAAACCCTATTAGAAACAATACAGAGTTTCACTAAACAAGATGGTAGGAATTCAGCAATGGTTATTATATTGTATACTGTTGTCTTCAAATTAGTTGTTAAGATTACCAGATGTAAGTATGCAAAATTGCCCCAAAATAATTTAAGCATTAACTGTTCCTTTCACTAAACCAATAGACATCACCAGTACAATTATCCCAGCTATCTTTATATATACATATATTTTTTCCTTCCTTTTCTCGTTTTTTCTCCTTTCCCTCATCCCAGTTGTTCCTTCCCTTTGAACAATTTCTTTGCCTTTCACAATGTCTAATGTACCTTTTGGGTTTTATTTACTCTTTCAGGTTCTTACACTAGAGAGACAATATGATGTTTACACATGTGGATTTATTTCACTTATGAGTATGGTCTCTTGCATCCATTTACGTATAAAAGCCCCCAGTGTATCTTTCTTTATAGCTGAGTAGTACTCCATTGTATAAAAATACCACATCTTTTTTTATCCATTCCTCAGTTGATTTGGGTTATTTCCAAGGCATTTGGGTTATTTCCAAGACTTAGCTATGACAAATTGTGCTGCTATAAACATGGGTGCACATATATTGTTGTGGTATGATGTTTTCAGTTTTTCTGGAAAAATACCCAGGTGAAGAGCTGGGTTATGTGGGACCTCTAATCTTAGTTTTGTGAGGCATCTCCACACTGATTTCCACAGCAATTTCACCAGTCTACATTCCTCCCAGCAGTAGAGAAGGGCTTCTTTTTCTCCACAACACTGCCAGCATTTGTTATTGATTTCTTCATGATAGCCATTCTTTCTGAGGTAGATGGAATCTCAGTGTTAATTTGCATTTCTCAAATGACCAATGATGTTGAACATTTTTTCATATATTTATTTGTCACTTATATTTCTTCACCTGAGAAGTGTGTATTCATCTCAGATGCTCATTTTTGGATTAGGTCTTTGAATTTGGGGGGCCTGATACTTTTTAATTCTTTATATGTTCTAGATATAAGTCCTTTGTCTGCAGGACAGTTGGCTAAAATTTTTTCCCAATTTGTAGGTTTTCTTTTTACTCTGTTGGTGATTTCTTTTGATGTGCAAAAACTTTTCAATCAGA